TGTGTGTGTGTGTGTGTGTGTGTGTGTGTGTGTGTGTGTGTGTGTGTAGTGGTTAAGAATGTGGTCTCTCTGTTCAACTGCCATACTAGTCTTGTGACCTTGGGTAAATCATTTAGCATTCTGTTGTTTCTTCATTTATAAAAATGGATTAATGTTAGCTCTATCTTATATTGTGAGGGTTACATGAAATGGAATGTAAAGTGCATAATACAAAATAAGCACTCAAATGTTAGATGTTATTATTGTATCTGTTTCTTTTGAGAGGTGTCATTTTATACTGGAAAACACAGAATCTTTGGGGTTGGGTTGAGTTGGTTTTGAGTTTTGCCTCAGCTGTATACTAACACTGTGTCCTCAGGCAAATTACTTAACAGCTATTCTTTTCCTGTTTTCATATCTATAAAGCGAGGATAATAGCTACCTTGTAGAGTTTTTGGAAGTATTATAAATACACAGATACTCAGTAAATGGTAATTTTCATAGGCGTGATGCCTGTAATTCAGGTCAGTTGTATTTTCCTGGGTTGGAAACGTGAGCCAGCTGGCTAGATTTTTCCCTGACACTGATGGCTGTCTGAATTGAGTACTTAGTCTACAGGGAAGTCAATTATACTTTTTTATATAAAAATGGAAAAATAAACCTTTATAATGAACAGTTTAATATTTACTTATTTATAATATTTTCATATGAAATACAAATTAGGTATATTAGATTATACTTTTGGGGGGTTCTCTTATTTATTTTTGTAGAACAGAGGTAAAAGCAGCATCACTTTGGAGTCAGGATAAAGAGATGCCATTCTGACTTCCCCTAGCTTCCTTCTGCCCTTTGTGTCCTGGAAAAGAGAAATCCTACGCATTTGGGGTTCTAGGCTCTAGAGGCTTTAGAGAAGTGACAGTTACCTGTCTGAGGTAGACAACCTAGAACTTGTCTTGCTTAGAACATAGAGCTCCTAATCAGAAGTGGCAGGTGTCACATTCTTTATTGTATGAACATAGCTGTAGCTGTCAGTGGGATCAGGCAGCCCAACTCCCAGCTTAGGTCTGCAAAGACATGATCATTTTTCCCACAATAGAGGATCCGGCTATTAGAATTAACTGAGCGTCAGTGACTAATGTGAAAAAAAAACTAGTGACCAACCACTCTAAACTGAAACTCTAGCAAGCTCTGACAAGGTTCTGTCACATAGAGACTGTTTATGGAGAATGTTAACAAAGGATTTACACGTCCATTCAGATACTCAAATCTTGTAGCTTATTAGGGAGACAAAATATGTACTTGTGCCCTTCCCCCCCGTTTTTTTTGAGAAGAGAAATCTTGGAACATATAGAAGCTACAGCTTAATAGTAGATTCTTGCTAAACGCAAAATTTCTGATGAGTAACATTATTTACATATATTTTCCATATCTTGTTGGAAGGTTTTGCATATAAATGTCAGTTAGACACTGATTTTTTGTTTTTGAGATATAGTTCACCATTTGAAAGTGTACAGTTAATTGGTTTTTAGTATATTTACAAGGTTGTGCACCATTATCTAATCCCAGGTAGAGTATACATTTTAAAGAAAGACATCTTTTATCATATTTTGATGAACTTACCTTTGATTTTCTTTTCTACCTTAAGGAAAACCTGTTTTGTCTTATCTCTGACCATTAAGTTCTTTGGAGTTGTGCTTTGTTTCAGTTGAGAGTGGTTGATCATCTGTTTTTTTCACAGTAGTCACTGGTAGTCAGTAAATTCTAATAGCTGGATCTTCTTGAGGGAAAACTTTTATCAGTTTCAAGAAGTCCTCAAACATTTATTCCTGTATTAATTTCATTTTTATTCTATTTCAGAATAAGAGAAGATGAAAACAATGTCATTTTGGATGACTTTGCCGCAAAGCTGAATGATTGTTATTTTTTGACATGGAGCATTTGTTTCATAAGTTAATTCTTCACTCCTTCCTCCTGCATGAGTAGTTAAGTTTTAATATAAACATTTTTTATAGACCAGCTAAAGATGATCATTTTTCTTCCTAGAGAAGCTTTACCTTTCTCTCTATCTGAACAATTTCAGTAAGATTTGTACAGGGCAATATAATTTTCTAGCACATTTACTTTCCCTAGACAATGAAAATATGTGTTTACGTAACTTTTTTTTTTTTTTTTTTTCGGTTCGCGGGCCTCTCACTGTTGTGGCCTCTCCCGTTGTGGAGCGCAGGCTCCGGACGCGCAGGCTCAGTGGCCATGGCTCACGGGCGCAGCCGCTCCGCGGTATGTGGGATATTCCCGGACCAGGGCACAAACCCGTGTCCCCTGCATCGGCAGGCGGACTCTCAACCACTGCGCCACCAGGGAAGCCCGAACCAAAATCTTTTAAATATTTATTTGGAGTTTGGTTTTAGGTAGGGATCAAATTTAATTTTTTCCCTAGTAGTTGTCCCATCACCTTTTATTGAATAATTCCTCTTTCCGCTAATGTTTTGAATAAACTTGTCCTTTCATCAATGGTTTGTAACATGTCACGTTAATCCTATACCAGATTCTTATACTGGTAGGCTCTTGAATTCTCTGTTCTGTTTCTTTGATTTACCTGTGATTTCTTATACCAGTATTACATAACTTTAATTTATCTATCTTCTACTATGTGGTAATATACCTTCCCTGCTTACCCACATTTTCTTGATTATTTCCCCCCATATTTCCTTCCAAATATTTTTTTAAAATTAATTTTTATTGGAGTATAGTTGATATACAATGTTGTGTTAGATTCTGCTGTACAGCAAAGTGAATCAGTTGATTCCACTTTATATTTACTGAGTGCATAATGTGGGCCAAGTTTTGTTTGTTTGTTTTTTAATGCATGTATTGGCACATTCAGTCTTCATAACAGCCCAGTGTTGTTGGTGTTATACCACGATTTTAGAGACACAAAAGTTGAGATGCTGAAAGGTTTAGTACTGAAAGGTTTAGTTTGAGATCACATTAAGCTGAGGGACCAGAATTCAAACCCAGGCAGTCTTCTGGTTTTAGAGCTCATGCCCTTAACCGCCATCCTAAAGTTTAGTTTATTTTAAGTTTCACAAGAACTTCTTTTTAAAATTTTGATGTAATTTGACTGAACCTGTAAATCAACTTGGAGAAACTGGAATCTTTACACTGTGTAAAGTGTTACCTTTGGTTCACCTAACGGTTTGTTTTCTGAATTTTACTATCCTGCACCATTGTCTCTATTTGTCAGAGTTTTTTGGCTTCAGTAGAGTTTACTAGTATTTTTTGTTAAGTCTGTATATTTAAGTCTGTATATTATTCTTAGACACTTATTTTATTGACTCTCATGAATGGGTTCTTCCCACCTCCTTTTGGACTTAGAGTAATGAGATACAGCTGGCCTAAAAGAAAGCTATTGAATTAATGTATTTTATTTCTGTCAGGCTTGCTTAATAATAAAAACAATACTGATTATCTCCTATCTTCACAGAGAATATATTTCAGAAAAAGTTTAAAGATTAAATGTCTAATAGTAGCATGATTGATTTATGTGTGTGTGTGGGGTGAATATATTCTATTTATACATAGCTAAGAAAGTGTGAAATCTCTAGATAACAGCCAGATACTGCTTTTAGGCTGAGGAAAATCCGGAGGCTGGTTGAAATTCTTTCCAGAGACTCAGGGTCCCTGGCGAGGGAGGCTCACTCACTTTCCCACTACCTGGTCGGCCAAGGAAGCCTTTGGATGGGACCATACACCTGTCCTTGGTAGTGGTGAGGGTAGGGATTTTACTTGATGGGCACTGCTGCAGAGGAAATCTGACCTTTTTCCTCTGGGGCAGATGATGTCACCATAGAAGAATAGGAAATAATCTTTGCCCTGTGGATATAAAATTACTGCATTTGGCACTTATTATTAAAAGGTAGGCTGAGAGTGTCAATATATAAAGTAAAAAATTATGAAATGTGTGAAAGTAGAGAAATATCATAATAATAATGACGAGCACTATTTTGTGTACTTAGTGTCCTAAAAGATGTTATTTTTTTGAAATCTATTATTTTTTAAATTTTAAAAAAATTTTTATAATTTTATTTTTTACATTTAGAACTTCTGATGCATTTGGAAGTTAGTCTTGTGTATGATTTGAGGTATAATCCAATTTGATCTTTTTTGGAATGGTTATCTGGTTGTCCTCCCATCATATATTTATTTGCCCGAGAAATTTTCATTTTTTATTATTTTAAATTTTATTTATTTTTGGCTGCGTTGGGTCTTCGTTGCTGTGCGTGGGCTTTCTCTAGTTGCTGTGAGCGGGGGCTACTCTTTGTTGCGGTGCGTGGACTTCTCATTGTGGACTTCTTGTGGACTTCTTGTTGAGGAGCACGGGTTCTAGGCGCATGGGCTTCAGTAGTTGTGGCACACGGGCTCAGTAGTTGTAGCTCGTGGGCTCTAGAGTGCAGGCTCAGTAGTTGTGGCGCGTGGGCTTAGTTGCCACAAGGCATCTGGGATCTTCCCGGACCAGGGCTCGAACCCGTGTCACCTGCATTGGCAGGCAGATTCTTATCCACTGCGCCACCATTATTAGTTTTAATAGTTTTTCAGTTGACACTTTCAGATTGTGGCCGTTTGCACAATAATATTACTGTAAAGGTATTACGGAACAAAACCAGCAAGATTTTGATATGTAGTATTCTCATTTTTACATTTTAAATAATCTGTGATTGTAGCTCTGATGTGTTTATTGCCCCAAGTGTTCGGTGATTTTTAATTTTGTTAATTCAGTACATATTTGGTGTTTACCATGTGGCAGACACTCAGGTACTTGAGATGTTTTTATATAAACTCTTATGTAGGTGGTAGCTAACAATCTGGTATTCCTAGAATGTGAAACACATATATCACATCTTACTCTTTGGCAAATTAGCAGAGTAAGTTAGCATAAATAACAGTTTCTCTTCCTGATGGGAAAGTTTTATACCTTTTTGTACTTAGTCCATTAGATTTTTATCTCCAGTTACTTGAATGTGAATTAAAAAACCAACAAACATTTATCTGTACATGAGCTAATGGGTAGCTCTCAATTAGGCTAATATCATTTTACTAGAGTAGATTTAATCAGCTGGGGAGATTGTTGAAACTGCTTCCAGTGGTACAAGTTATGTTTTGAAGAATAAAAATTTTATTATATCTAGTTTATATTACCTTAATAGTTCAAAGATTTAAATTTTCTATTTCTTTAAAATTTTTTTGTTTACTTGATCTTTCTGGGATTGAGATAGTGTTTGTTTCCTACTATATTTGTTTTCTACTCAATTTGATCCTTGTATTCTTTTTTTTGGCTGCGCCTTATGGCATCTGGGTTCTTGGTTCCCCAGACCAGGGATTGATCCCATGCCCCCTGCAGTGGAAGCACGGAATCTTAACCACTGGACTGCCAGGGAAGTCCTGATCCTTGTATTTCTAATAATTATGCTGCAGTGTTATTTGGTACAATTTCATGTTGCCCTTGTTGATTATATTTTGCATTTATATAAATGACCTTTTTGGAATATAGTACAATGCCTTTTATCTTGAAAAAAGATGAAAAATCTTTTCATTGTGTTCCCCATTCTGTCCCAGTCATCCATACAGATCTGAAGTCACTGTGACCATCACAGTGAATGGCATTTTTTTTTTGACTCTGAAGGAGGGCCTCAGTTTGGTCACTAATTTTTGTTTTAATCTGCTCATCCTTATGGTAGTTTATAGAAACTATTGTTTAATTTTGACCTGTACTTTAGCCTTTCATCATTTATTTGTTATTTAGGGCCATGTAATGTGCTAGATGCTAAAGGAAATATAAGCTTTTGTTTTTTTATTTTTTTTAACTTACTTTCCATATTATTATTACTTTGCTTTTTTGTTACTTTTATTTTGGCAATTTCTAAACATATGCAAAATCAGGGCAAATGATATGTGTTCCTATGACCTTTTACCAATGATGGCAATCTAGTTTCCCCTGTGCTTACCCAAGATTATATGAAACAAATCTCAGATATCATATCATTTAATTTGTAAATATTTCACTATGTATTGCTAAAAGACAAGGACTCCCTTGGAACAATACCACTATACTCACCCTCTCAAAAATGCAACAACATCTTAATATGACTGACTCTCTAGTCGGTGTTCTCATTATTGTTGCATAAATGGGAAATTTGGTGAGGAGGTCTCTAACATTTTAACTTACACTGTCTTCTACTTACCTCATTATAAACCCCTGGAAGTTCTATATAATGTCAGAATGTATGCTGGTTAGTTACCCAATGAAAGAAACCATCAATGTTCTCATCATGTCGCTTTAGAGACAAAGTCCTGATCAGGCTGGAGGGTACTAGATGGCTGTTTGGGTTTTAGGAACTTTAAGTTTATTCATCTTGGACAGTCATTCATTCATTCATTCAGCAAATATTTACCTCTTTGCTACGCGCCAGACATTCTTATAGGTGCTTGGGTTACATCAAAGAATAAAACAAAGATCCTTGCCTTTGAAGATGCTGCATTCTAGTGGGATAGAAAGACAATAAACGGTAAATATAATACAAAAGTGAAGTAGATTGTATGTTAGAAAATAAGTGTTCTGGAAAAAGAGAGTAAGTGGAGCAGGATAAAGGGGAATTGGAAGTTGGTGCTGGGGAAGCAGTGTTAAATAAAGTAATCAGGGTTAAGTCAGGAAAATGAGATTTGAGTGAAGATATGAACAGGGGACTGAAAGTGTTAGCCAAGCAGACATCTGGGAGAAGAGTGTTCTGTTTTTGAACAACCAGAGCATGTGTGCCAGGGTTGTTTGAGAGAAAGTAAGATCATTTTAGGTAGAGTTGAGTCAACAAGGTGGAGAATTGTAGGGAATAAGTCATAAAGGTAAGGTAAGGTGGGGTGAGGAAAGTATGAGAAGGGGTAAGTTTGTAGTACAGGTGGGTAATGACTTTCAAGATCGTTTGGCTTTTAT